TTTTTTTTTCTCTTCCCCTCAACACAAACTTCTGTGGTTGGCTTTTTTTTTTTTTTTTTTTTGCCACAATTGTATTACTTAGCTGGAGCAGAGTCTGCTTGCAGTTGATTGTTTTCCTGTTTTGTTTGCATGAACTACAGGAACAAGTAGTGATATTTTTCTGGAGAATGAAATAGAAGTTAATACTTGATACTGGATGTCATGTTTTGTGGTTCTTCTAGTGCTTTATTGGTCAAATTCATAAATAAACCATGTCTAACTGAGTTGGGATTTTAAGGAGCAAAGAAATAGAACTGTAAATTGGAGACTTATTGATGCTTACATGTTTTCAAACGACCAATTTTGTTATCTGATCTGAGGAACTCAGCTTCAAGAGATGAGTGCAGGTAAAAGTACCTAGGGATCCAAAGGGATGAGGGTTAGGAGATATTTAAGTTTTTGCTTGCACTGCCCAAACCTTGGTACCATGTGAATTCCTTTTTAGCTTGGACTTTTATATGAATGCAGTGTAGTTTCATTAGCTAATATTTTCATTTCTCTATTGTTGCATGCATGTATTTAGCTGAGTTTATTAGTAATAATTTTACATTATATGCATCTGATAGTCATGTGCCTGCAACCTTAGCTTTGTATCTGACATTTTGGCCTGCAACATTTCCTTGCAGCATGTATTCTGATTTAACTAGCTCTGCCAAGGAAGAAAACCCACAACCAGCAGTGGAGCAGTTCTTGGCCCTCCATGCAAGCTTGGACAATGCTCGTAACATTGCAGATTCTTTATCAAAAACTATTCCAGTTGGTGAATCTCCAGATCATGAAGCAAACCTATCTGAAGAAGCATTAAAAATCACATCAGAAAGGCAAAAACATGCATCCTCATGGGTGGAAGCTGCCCTGACAACCAATCTATCTTCCTTCTCTGTATGCGTCAAAGAACCAAACTCTACCCTGAGTCATACTTCACATTCTTCACAAAGCCAGAAAACTATCCCCGGGAACCAACCTATTTTAATCCTAGAAAATTCCACCAAGAATGTTTCAGCTAAAACACAAGGAAAAACCCGCCCAGTAGTTGTCTCTAAGCTTGTGGCACAAGGACTTCTTCGAAAACCAGGGGATGGTTCTGGCGCTGCCCAAAAGGCACAGGTCCAACCTCCACTGGAATGGACCAAAGGAAATGGTCTTGACCAGACTGTTGACTTTGCTGACAAGTTACAAATGGAGTCCCAGGATTGGTTCCTGGGTTTCGTCGAAAAATTCCTGGATGCTGATGTGGACACATCGGCTTTATCAGACAATGGCCGCATAGCAGGCATGCTGTCGCAGCTCAAGAGTGTTAATGATTGGTTAGACAAAATAAGCTCAAACAAAGATGAAGAGGAGAAGCCCCAGGTTTCAGCAGAGACAATTGATAGGCTGAGGAAGAAAATTTACGAGTACCTTCTTACTCATGTTGAATCAGCGGCAGCAGCATTAGGTGGTGGATCACAACCATCACCAACAACCAGAACAAATGAAACAAAAGCAAAAAGATGAGTCTATAAGGTTTGATTAGTGTTTCGTGCAATGCAGGATTGTAGGTGTTGGTCCAGATACCTACAAAGCTAAGCCACCCAAGTGGTCCTTGTGATTTATTTGATGTGTACATAAATCTAATTAAATCCTACATGGATTTAAGGTATAGGAAGGTTGTCATTTATATCGAAAATCAAAAGAAAAGCATTTAATGTGAACAACGTGAATTTTGTTTTTTCAAGCTAATTCACATTTTTCTTGCTATAAGGCTTGTTTAAATTAAAGGGGATGTATATGACCAACTACGTTAGTGTAGTGGTAAACTCTTTTGAGTAAATATAAGAGATCTTGTTTTTCAGCCATAAGTACAAGATTAAAGAAATAAAAGTGTTGTCTCATGTTGTCTTATTTAAAAATTTTAAAATATAAATATATTTATTAGGAAAAATATATTTTATAATATAAATTATATTAAATTATAAAATATTAATAGTTAAATTAAAAAAAATTCTTAATATTGAAAGAGTATCTTTTATTTTTTTTGTCATTTTTAAAATCTATTACAAATTAGAAATGAAGAAAATCAAATTCAATCATAATAAATTAAAGGTGCACTTATTAAGAATGATAAAAGTATTAAGTCGAGAAAAATAAATGCAAAGAGTATTTTTTATTTAGTAATTAATATTTATAATTTAATATAATTTAAAGTATAAAATATCATACTCTATCAAGTATATTAACTAATTTCTAAACTTGTTTAGAGGTGGTATGTCATGATAAGAAGGGTGGAAAGTCTTTCCACCTCGGGTCTTAATCAGATGCTATATTTGAATTTATTGGATTTTTCCACTGCATCATGTTGCAATCAAATGGTCAGCACACAACGACAAGGCCAAACGATTGTAAGCAGGAACCTTCCATTCATGCATGTGTACATATAATATTATATGTACACACACGTACACGTACACGTACACATGCTTTAGGGATCATCTGCTCCTGGGTACATGGAAGACAGCTAGAAATGGCATCTCTAATAACACAGGCTTGATTTTTTTTTATTTTTTGAACAGGAATTATAAATTAAGGGTTGAGGGATTGAAATCTAACTCTCATATTAAAAGGATTTACCTTACATATTGACTTATGATTGTTATGTCGTGAGATCCAGGTGCAACACATGCTTAATAATATATTATGTAGTACATATAGAAAGAAATTTTAGATGCAACGTTGCATTATCATGCACTCTATTTAATTCATCAATCAATAAAAATCTTGTAGAAATTAACCTCAAGCCGTAAAAATAAAAAATTATCTTGAGACGAACTTAATTGTTAAA